GAGAAGGGGATTAGGGAACACTATGAAAGGTCTGTCTACTCTATTTTCTAAGAATTTTGGTGGTTGGATTATAGCTATCCAAGCACTATGAGGATGTTGTTTTGTTGCAACTAGGGCTAGGGGGTTTCCTAGTTGAGTTTTTGGTTTGTTTAGTCCCCCCTAATTTAGTTTTAGGATTTTACTTTGTGTTTATTCTTGTTTTCCACTTTGTTTCCTTATTGCTATTGTTTCTATCACTCCTTATGGATTACTTTAGTCTGGGTTATTGATTGACTTAACTTTACCATGATCATTGTTATTTTAGAAGTTATTTTTGACTTTCAGAGTTCTTTATCCACTCTTAAGGAGGATCTTTAAAGCTGTTTCTTGTTATGCAACATTAGCACCATAAAAGTTGGGCTCATTTGAACATGTCCTTAAGACAACCTGTAACATTCTCACTCCACTAAACACAATGAATAAATGAAACTCATGGTAATCAGAGGATTTGGTCAAAAAGTAATTACCATGGTTTAATCCAAAAGTAAGGGATCCCAAGTTTTTCTAAGTAGAAACAAGTTAAAATCGATCAAAATCTTTCATATTAGAGTAAAAATAAGTTTCGAAAGCATGGGATACCTTAGAGGAATGAAAGAAGTCGAAAACGGTTGAAAAACAAAACATGTGCTATGATTCAAAGCCATGCGTCGTGGCTAGTGCACGCTGCACTATGGCGTGTTACTCTCTGTGCCACGCGCCGCGATGTGGTGCATGAAATTTTCACTAGTTTTGCTGTTATTTGACAGCCAAATTGAGGAAACTTTCGACTCACCCCGATTCTCCGTCCGACGTCCAAATGATTTAATTTAGGTATTTACGAAAAGCTTTTTACATGAACTAGCTAATGGCATGGGTTTTATTTTCAAAACAAGTCACACTAAAAAGTTGGATATCCAAATACAATTTGACTACTTTTCCACACTTTTACACAAAATGAGTGTCCAAAACTCTCAACAAGTGTCAAAAGCTTTTTCTAACACCTAGGCCATATCCAATAGACCTAGGAGTACTAGTACAACACGTCACAATCACCGAAACATCAATATAATAAAAATTCACTCCTTAACCCCATTTTACGAAAACCAAAGGGGGAGGTAAATTAGCATTGCATTTCGCTCAAGTCATTCAAACTATGTTCAAATCTTCATTTTTACACTTGCACTTGTATTTTAGCCCTATAAACATATATATATATATATATATATATCATATATATAAAGGCTAAGGGTCCAAAATACAATTATAACATTTCCAACAACCAAAATAATACAAGTGAGGTGATATGCATCCTAAAATTGGTAATTTATATTTTATTACACAATTAAATCTAAACTAGAGGCATACAGTAGGAATATGCTAATTCTCCACTTCTTTAGTCTTCTCCCTCTCAACACCAGAGCTAGAGCCTGAAAAGTATTAAATAAGAGGGGTGAGTCTAGCCATTCAGTAACGAAAGTTAAACTTACCCTATACAGTTATATGTTAATTATAAAACAAAAACATGCACAAGGAGATCAAATATGTAAAATAAGTCCACATATATCATAATTTATCATTTATCACTCTATAGTTTCTTTACTTACATAACTAGGTATATTGTCCCCATATTCTCAGATATGTGATATGACTTATACTGTTGTGACCTACCACCACTTAACACGTGTGACACATCATATATTTACTTAGGCAATAATCAACTAGCCTTATATCCTCCTTATTTTTTCAGATTAAAACCGTGGGCTATAACACTAATTAAGGCTCTATCCGTGTGGCTGGACTATCTAAACTCACCAATCGTTATGTGTGACCCGGCCAAAGATCACAGGACTCACTCTCGAACCACGGCTTCCCCCATTCTCGAATCCCTGAGGTGTCTTATACCCTAGGCTATTCTCCTCATTGAGTTGGTAGAGATAGTTAGGTTCTAGTCCCTTGACAAATTATAGGACAGTCCTTCGATAAACAGTGAGACAAGGCTAGAGCCCCCGTGTATCGGAGGGCAGCCTAAATATCATATGAATTTTTCTCTACTCCTAATTCCTAGGCAAACTCCTGCCACTGATCATGCTATAATCATTACTTACTTGTTTTTACTTTTTTGCTTTCATATACTCACTTTTACAACAACTACGTTAGGCTCACGACCTTGTACTACTCAAGTGTGTATTCTCATCATTTCTCAAAATTCATTTCATCATTAATACACCAATACCTCTAAACATCATTACAATCATTTCTCAAAAGTATGAGTGTGCTTATAGTGAAATCCTCTTGACTTTACATTTTACATTTTCAAGTCAAAAAATAGTTTTTTCATGCACTCATGGAAATTAATATATATAGTTTTACTATACCAATCAATTCCATACATGCAATATTCACAATTTGCATTCAGCAATCAATTAACATACAATTATCCAAAGTAGAATTTTTCTCTCGATTACCTCAAATCTTTGAGAGATCAAAGGTTTACCCCTTAATCAACTAGCTTCAAAGTTTCAATTTCTACTCCAATAGGTTTTCAAGAGCCAAAACTACAATTGACCAAGTTGAATTCCATCAACATAACAAACTCAAACATTTGAACCCTCAATCTCTACTTCTAAATTGTCCAACATTCATTCTATAAGAGGTGAAACCTAACCATTGGGTTTAATAGTTACCTTTAGCCCTCAATAGCATTAATGAACCATTAAATTCCTATTAATGGTATTACAAACTTCCAATTACTTATAATAAATGGAATGTTTAGACATTAATGGTGTCCAATAATTCAAGACACCAAAACTCATTATATTTAGGTTTAGATACTCTAATCTACCCCCATTAACTCTATTTAAGTCAACAAATTTGGACCCATAACCTATATGGACCGAAATCCCACTTACACTATCAAACTCTAATCATAAACTCATAAATGTGGAAGAAATGGGGAGATTGATGAGTATGATACTTACTTTGGGTATTTGTAGCCTTCAAAATACTCTCAAAGTCGTGCCCAAGTAAACCCTAGCAGAGCATTGGTGCATCCCTTCTTTCTTTCTTTTCTCTTATCTCTATTCCTATCTCATTTCGTGTTTGATAACTGCAAAAAATGGCTACCGCTGTGACGGACGCACAATGCACCACAGCACATGGCACAGAGAGGTCTTCCTTTGCTCAAAAATAGCTGTGTGCCACGGCGGACGATCTACGCGCTGCGCATGTGGCACAACAACTTCAACTCTTTCTTTTCTTCTCCTTTCGATGCTCAGGTGGCCCGCCTCAATACAGGACCCACAACTAGGACTGAAATACTACTAAATATGATTATTAGACCTCTCTGACCACACACCACTTCAACTTACTTAATTACCCTAATTAGGTTTAATTAATTAAGAAATTAACTCAAGATGTTACACAACCACCTTTCATTTTGCCTTCTCCTTTGGTCATAGTAGACAAAAGTCTAGTCTTGCCCTTCAATCTACAAGGAACTGACTTTGGTTGTTTGGCTGATGTTGCCTTATAGTTTAGGTGCTGTTTTTGTTTTGTTGGTCCTTGTGGCCGTTTGATTTGGTTAAGTTTGTTTTGTTTTTGTATCAAGTATTTTATCTTGCTTTCTATTAATGAAATCATATTTTAGGCCAATTTTTTTTAATCACTTCTAATATCTTGCTCTTTTTATTTTTCACTATTTATATTTTTATGACTATTAGATCTTTTCTCATTTCTAGTAAATTAAAAATAGAAATAAACTTGTCATTTTTAATTTTTAATTTTCATTTTGAATCTCAACTCATTTCTCTTTTTCATTTGAAATTTTTAAATTACTCAAATAAAGGATTTCAAATGCATGAATTTTAAATGTGAGATTTAAAATACAATATTTTAAATATAAAATCCAAATATAAATCTATCAATCCAAAAGCTATCTAAAAATAAGATACGTTGACCTCAATTCTCCTAACATTGTAAAGAAACCTTACAATTCATCATGGATGGGATCGATGCGTAAAGCAATATATTATTGTGAATGAGAGGTTGGGAAAAGTACTTCTATATATCCTTTTGAATCATCTACTTGAACTCAAAATCTCGCACCACATCCAACATAGCTGGCCCATTCTTCAACACATGTCTCAGATTTGAATATTCCGCTTTCATCTACCAATTTAAAGGGTTGTTGGAATTATAGTCTCCTCAACAGCATTTATGGGACTATGGGAGGATGCATGCCGCAAATATGCTTCACAAATAAGGATGACAAGCTTGTCTGGAAAGGATCTCCAGATGAAGAATATACAGCCAAGGAAGATTTCAGGAAACTACTGCTGTGGATCAACTCCTTCCCTCGCATAGTATTTGGGGTCTCATGTGTAAAATCAAATTACTTATAAAACACCTGTTCTTTATGTGAAAATTCATCCATCAACTAATTCCAATCGGTGCAACGCTGGTCAGACTCTGCAAGAATGATGATCTCCATCATGCAGGACCATCTTCAAGCTAGGAAGAGAGTGTTATTCTACAAAACACTCGAACGTTCGATCACATGCTCCCTTATTTTAGTTCGGTGTCGATGGAACAAATTGGTTAGCGTAGTATTTTTTTGTTTTTTGTTTGTCTCTTTTCTTTATGTACTTTTAATGACTCATGAGTTGTAACTTTCGTTGGCTTTAATTAATCATTTGACCCTTTCATCCCCAAAAAAAAAAAAAAAAACATGGTTGTGATTAACCTAATCATGTCTTTGCGTAGTGTCCTGTAACAAAAGCCTTGTGGCCTTAACACTCTTGACTGATTTTGTTTTTTAAAAGATGAACTTCACCTTCATAGGGAAATCATCGTTTTCCTGAATCAGCCTTGGTGCGAGGGATTTTGGCGCGAGGGATCCTGATGGGCTTGGAGGCAAGGGCATTTTAGTCATTTCCTCTTGCCCATTATTAGGGTTTCTCTTCTCTTTTATTTAAGCCTTTGTTCTTTTAGAATTTACTCGGCTTACGGCTGTTGCGCGCGTGCCTCCTCCGCCGGCTATTCCTCTCTCCCTCTCTCTCATAATTAATCTCTTTCGTAGACGTACTCTTCCCCTCACTCTCACTGCACGTCCCTTCCTAATCCTTCACCGATCACCCCAATTCCGATCTTCCTTTCTAACCCATTCCTTCTTCTTCTTCAATAGATCGCTTGCTTCTTCTCTCTCAGCTTCATTGTGTCATTGTCTGTGCTCATCTCGATAATCAAGGGTTTCTCTCAGTAGGAAGTTCCCATTTTCGCCTTGCACATTTCCTTGATCCGGGTTCTGTTCAGATCTTCGAAATAACTCCTAGAGATGGTCGATCCGACAGGAAAAGTGAGTGATCACGAGCCGTGATGGTCTCTTCCGAAGTTTCTTACCACCACCTTGCTTTGATTCGGATGTAGAGATTCTAATCGAGCTGATTCTGTTCTGTAATGCAGGGATCGCAGGCCGAGGACGCCAATAACAGAAGCCCTAACTCTGATTCATCGGAAGGAAGCCCAATGAGCAACGAGCAGAAGAAAACCTGCGCCGACTGTGGCACTTCAAAAACCCCTCTCTGGAGAGGCGGTCCGGCCGGGCCCAAGGTAATTCACCCGATCGAACTAGAACCCCATTTTTAATCGTTAAAGCTTGGACATGTTTCTGATCACCGTTTGTTGTTCAATTTTGTTGACCGCAGTCTCTGTGCAACGCTTGTGGGATCAGAAGCAGGAAGAAGAAGAGAGCTATTCTGGGTATGAACAAGGGAAGTATAGAAGACAAGAAGGGCAAAAGAAGCAACAATGCGAAAATTGGGGATAGTTTGAAGCAGAGATTGATGGCTCTGGGGAGGGAGGTTTTGATGCAGAGATCGTCTGTGGAGAGGCAGAGAAAGAAGCTGGGAGAGGAAGAACAAGCGGCCGTGCTGTTGATGGCTCTCTCATACGGCTCTGTTTATGCTTAATCCACAAACCAGAGTCCTACTTTTAGAATAAAAGTAGAGAGAGAGATGTTTGATTTTGGTAATGCCCCCACACTACATTTCAGAAATTGTATGTTCAAATTTGTGGGGTGAAATTTTCTGTGATTAGTTTTGTATTAGATTAGTTCGCTGACTGATGTAGTGGCATCATGAATCTTATCAAGAATTGTAAGAAAATGATTGAATCCCAATTTTGGTAATATAATCCTCTATTTTTTCCCAATTTCATGTGGGCTCTGAAATTCCCAAGATGAGGAATGCCATTGCCGGGCTTGTTGGTCTTGAGTGCTCTTGTCATCTCTTCCATTTCATGCGTTGCAGAAAATTTCGACTACATTTTAAATTTGGTACACAAACATGTGAGACCGAGAGTACAAATATGAACTCCGAAAGAAAGGTGGGAAAAGCACCAAATTTGAAAGAGGTGGGAACGTCCAATAGATCAAAATATTGAATGAAATATACAACTTTCCCATTTCCCGCTAGTTTGACTTGTGATATTTGAACAATAATGAAGACACATCTGGCAGAGCAAAAGTCAATTATTGACACAGGTCAAGGGTATTATGGTAATTAATTTTCAAACATTCTCATACCTTTTCTTCCAGCGGCTTGCACTATTTAATAGTGTGACAAAAATAAATACCACATAAATAGATAAAAATAGCCTATTATATTTATATGTAGATACTACTACTGTGTCGGTGACCGAGATACTTGAGGAAGTTTGACTGGTAATTTAGGTCAAACTGACTCCTACACAAGTCTGTCTCATTACCCGTTCCATCTCCCCCCCCCCCCAAAAAAAAAAAAAAAAAACATAGAGGAATTTGGTTGTTTTTGGAGCTGGAATCCTATGCATTAATGATTCCAAATACTTAATATTACAACGTGATTTCCATTTTTGAACAAGTGAGATTACATGGTTGTAAAAACAGCGAATGGGAATGTAAGAGAAAATTTGCCTGTTAGCTTTGATTTCCCGGAATGGAGATCAAATGAAAATGAAATCCTTACTCATATATAAATCACAAATTTCTATCATTTTAGTTTTGCTACTATATTTTACTGCATATTGTATTGAGTATTGGTAACACAATTTTTCCTTGACATATTTTTGCGTCTCAAACCACCACAATGATCGACAAAGACAAGAGACATCTTGAAGTATTGAACACATACTCCTTCTATCCCTACATATAAGGTATGTTTAATTAAATATTGCATGTCAATAAAGATTTGTTATTTAGTTAAACTCACATAAAAACACAATAATTTTTTAATTTTACCCTAATAATATCATAATTAATATCATGTTGGTGGTAGAAAAAACATACAATTAATGCAAAGGTAAAATTATTTAATTACTTAAAAAATATCATTGTTACCTCTTATTTATAGGGATACAATAAGCTTCTAGAAAAAGTATTATATATAGGGACGAGGGAGTATGCCATTGTCCGATGAAAAGCCCACAGCCTCACACATTGGATATTTCATATTTTCATTGTGCTATGTAAGCTTTTTATTTTATTTATTATATTGGCCAAGTCTTCGTGCCATATGAATTTGTAAGTTTTCACAAGTTATCAATAAACTTTTTATTTTACTAAAACTTGCTGGATGTTGTGGTTGATGTGGAAATCCCGTAATGATAAAGTCTATAACTTTAATGACCCAAACCCATGTAATGTTATTGTTGATGCTACACGTGCTGTTTTAGAATTCTGGGAGACGACTACTTGTTCACAGCAAAACAAACCAGTAGCCACAAACAGTTCACATGTGCTTCATTGGTATACTCCTCTCGATGGTTTTTTGAAGATTAACTATGACGGTGCCTACAATCCAATTGAGAATACTGCCCCTATTGGTTTGATATGTCGAAATGACTCTAGTTCCTTTGTTTGGGCTTTTTCTGATGAAGTCAAGTCCATCTTTGCTTTTATGATTGAGGCATTAGCATTAAAAAGGGCACTTTTATTAGTTAGGGACTTGAGCTACAATAAGGTAATATTTGAAAGTGATTGCCTCACGCTTGTTAATTGCATTACTAAAGGCCGAACAGATTTTGGAGATTGGCAGTGCATTAGCATTGTGGATGACATTATAGCACTCATGGCAGCAATAGCTGGGTTCTCTTTCTCCTTTGATCACGCAAGAGTAATAGTGCGGCTGATTTCTTGGCTGCTGTTGCTATTAAGGAAGTGGGTCCGATATGGGTGGAAACACCAACATCTCCTTTGTCTCTCTTACTAGCTGAGGATGTCGAGAGTTCTATTCTAGATTCTGCCCAAGGTGTAGCTGACCATGATCGAAATGGAGTTGGCTAGCTCTTTCTCTATTGCTGTTGCTGTGTGTGTTTTTTTTTTTGTTTCCTCTGCTTCTTTCTTTCTTTTTTTTTAACTTGCGTTTGCTGCGTTTTGTTTTGGTTTTTTTACCTCTCTTTGCTGCTGTTTTGCTTCTTTGGTTTTTGCCTTTTGTATTGTTGCTGGTTTCTGATTTATGGAATAGTTCTTTCCTTTGGCCAAAATATATATATATATATATATATATATATTTGACCTTCATTAGTATGGCTGCTTCTCCACAAATAAGGTTTGAGGGCGCTTGCACACTATCATTTTAACTTGTATCGTTTTTGCTTCTTATTAAAGGCAATATTCTAAAAGGAATTTTTAAATTCTTAATATAAAGCATTGGATGGGTTATTGATTACGTTTTTTTTAATATTATACCTCTATTTAAATTTATAAACTATGAAAGAGAATGTAATGTAAATTTGAAGCACATTCATTTAAATGGAGATAAAATTGAACATTTATTCTATATATTTTTAAAGAAAGATAATAACTTAACCAACACTGATTAGTTTTCGTAAGATAGTATTGGATGTGCCTTATAATAAGAACTGAAGAAAGTATGTGAAAAATTTAAGTTCTTTGAGTATAAAAATGCTTAATATACCAACAAGGCTCAACTTCAATAGAAGAGGTTAATCTCTCATAAGATCGAGAAACAATTAAAACATGATTAATCTATTTAAAATGTTTTATATTTTAAAATAAAAAAATTGTTTTAAAAATACTTTATAATTTAGGACAGAAAAAGAATTATATTATTGTAGGGAGTTTTAATCCTATACCCTCCATCCCTAAATATGCTCCGGTATCTGATTTTTCTAAAGCGATTTTCCTTTTTTATAATACCTCATGCGGTGCTTTAAAAAAAAATTTCACATGTGCCCTTATTTAATGATTTTTCTCCAACCCTTAATAAATGATTATATTAAAAAAACAAAATACATAAACTTAGGGATAGATTTGGAAATGAAAAAAATATTTAGATACTCCATTCATCCCAAATTATAAGACACTTTTGAGGGAGATTCAATTATCTCAAAATAAAGGACACTTTCACAACAATAAAGTTTTATTAATGATATTTTTTTAATATCATCCTTATTATATATTCTCTCTCTTTAATAATATTTTACTAACTAAGTGTTAAATGAACGGCATTTTTATTAAAAGCTTACATTTATATTTTAAAAAAGTAAGATTGTAAAATATATTAAATAAATTTTATTAGTATGTATAATTTTATTTAAAAATATCTTATAATTTAAGATAGAGTGAGCTTTAACCTCTCTCATGATTTTCCCAATCTTGACATTTGGGTATTACTCCCCAGGACCTATGAATTGGACACCTCAATAATTATTGTAAATGCATGTCTTTATCCTTTGCCATTAAATGTAAAAAGATTATTAAATGTTAGAATATTTTAGTTTTAAAGTATATCTATTTAATGAGGGTAAAATTAAAAACTTATTGAATTTTTAAATAAAGTTATTGAGCTTTAATGTTTTTCTTAATTCTAGTAAAAATGTTGAAAGCAATGATTTAAAAACAGGACTGAACTTGACTGTCAAAATGTTGACTAGAGCTATTAACGGCTTGGTTTGAAACAAAAAATAATTTTCATAATTGAGCTGAATTGAATCAAAGTTAAGTCACTATTGAAACAGAAATCGGAGTTGAATTGTGAACCAAAGCAATTTTTAAAAAACTAAATGGTTTTAAAAATAATATTAAAAAAAGTTAAAAATTTTAAAAAAAACTAAAAAAGTTTAAAAATTAGATCATACTAAAAACTAACTTTATTTTTGAACAATTTATATGTATAATATATGATTTAAGATCAGTTTTTTGTAAAAATGTTGAGAATTATATATGCAAATACAAATACTTTTGAGGTTAATCATATCTAATTTAACCACAATTCACCTACATTTAAAAAATTATAAAATTATAATTTATAATATTATTAATTTACAATCATATTATGTCATTTTATTAACATACTATAAATTATTTTTTATATTTATTTTATTTATATATGTAATATTATTTTTATTTAATTATTACATCAACGATTCGATCATTAGTTCAACTTAATTATATTATGAAAATTATGAACCACTGACCTATCTAATTTAATATTGATTCGATTTAGAAAATATAGATTGAAAGTCACTTACACATAAAATCTGAGGGTATATTTAGAGACAAGGCAGCATTTATTTGTGCTACTAATTCCAAAAATTTATTACAAACTTTGGGACTTTGACAAGTGTAAAGATTATACTAAACGACAAGCCAAACGGAAATCAAAGTGAAAATTTGGGTAATTTTGATTTCCTAGAAATGAGATCACATGAAAGTGACATTGTCATTTTCAACGTCACCAAATAGGGAAATTATTCCCTTAGTTTTAAATTTAAGATAAACTATCTTATAAATAAGTTATATTAGTTTTTTTTTTTTCAACATCACCAAATAGGGGAATTATTCCCTTAGTTTTAAATTTAAGATAAACTATCCTATAAATAAGTTATATTAGTTTTTTTTTGTAAGTAAAATTTTAAGATGGACTAATTAATTTTTTTCAGATTGTCCCTCATAAATAGATTACTATTATTAAATTAAATAAAAAAATTAATCATTTAATTCTTAAAATTTTAACTCAATACAACTCAATCTGTAAAATTTAATTTAATTATAATTCAATTCATGTATTTTTAAAAACTCGTTTAATCCTTTATGACTCATCCTAGGCGACAGTGAGTTGGAGTTTGCTGGTATGCCATCCTTATCGAGAAAATCGTCACCACGGCCTCCTCCTTCATTAGTTACGTGCTAGACTCGCTAAACTATGTAT